TTCTCTGTTCTGTTCCACTGGTCTATATGTCTGTTCTTGTGCCAGTACCAGGCAGTTTTGAGAACGGTGGCTTTGTAGTATAGCTTGATATCTGGTATTGTTATTCCTCCAACATTGTTCTTCTTTCTCAAGATTGCTGTAGCTATTCGGGGTCTTTTTTTTATTACATATGAATTTTTGGCAATTTGTTCTAAGACTCTGAAGTATGCCATTGGTATTTTATTGGGGATTGCGTTGAATTTATAGATTGCTTTGGGTAGTATGGACATTTTAATGATGTTGATTCTATCAATCCATGAACACAGTATGTTCTTCCATCTGTTTATGTCTTCCTCTATCTCTTTTTTCAGTGTCCTGTAGTTTTCCGAGTACAGGTCCTTTGTCTCCTTGGTTAAGTTTATTCCTAGGTATCTTAATTTTTGTTGTTGCAAAGCTAAGTAGGATTGCTCTTTTAATTTCTCTTTCTGTGAGTTCATTATTGGTGTATAGAAAAGCCATAGACTTCTGGGTGTTAATTTTTATCCTGCTACAATGCCGAATTCATTTATTAAGTCTAGTAGTTTTTGATGGAGTCTTTGGGGTTTTCTATGTACAATATCATGTGATTTGTGAATAGGACAGTTTTGCTTTTTCTTTTCCAATTTAGATGCCTTTTATTTCTTCTTCTTGTCTGATTGCAATATCTAGTACTTCCAGTACTATGTCGAAGAGGAGTGAGGATAGTGGGCATCCCTGTCTTGTTCCTGTTCTCAGGGGAAATGGTTTTAGTTTTTGCCCATTGAGTATGATGTTGGCTGTGTGTTTGTCATATATGGCTTTTATTATGTTGAGGTATGATCCTTCTATTCCCACCTTGCTGAGAGTTTTTATCAAGAAAGGGTGTTGGATTTTGTCAAATGCTTTTTCTGCAACAATTGATATGATTATATGGTTTTTATCTCTCAGTTTGTTTATGTGGTGTATCACATTTATTGATTTGTAGATGTTGGACCATCCTTGCATACCTGGGATAAGTCCTACTTGGTCATGGTGTATGATCTTTCTATTGTATTGCTCGATTCAATTTGCTAGAATTTTGTTGAGGATTTTGGCATCTATGTTCATGAGGGATATTGGCCTGTAATTCTCTTTCTTTGTATTATCTTTATCTGGTTTTGGGATTAGGGTAATGCTGGCTTCGTAGAAAGAGTTTGGAAGTGCTCCTTCCTCTGTAATTTTTTTGAATAGTCTGAGGAAGATAGGTTTTATTTCTTCTTTGAATGTTTGATAAAACTCCCCTGGGAAGCTGTCTGGTCCAGGGCTTTTGTTTGTTGGAAGTTTTTTATTACTGCTTTAATTTCCTCCATAGTTATCGGCCTATTCAGATTTTTTTTATTCCTCCTGATTGAGTTTGGGATGGTCGCATTTTTTTAGAAATATGTCCATTTCTTCTAGGTTGACCAGTTTGTTGGAGTTGCGCATAGTATTTTTTATGATTCTTCATATTTCTGTGGGTTCTGTTGTTATTTCATCTCTTTTGTTTCTGATTTTGTTTATTTGGGTCCTTTCTTTTTGCTTCTTGGTGAGCCTGGCTAGAGGTTCATCAATCTTGTTTATCCTTTCTAAGAACCAGCTCTTGGTTTCATTGATTTTTTGTATTGTTTTTTGTCTCTATGTCATTTATTTCCGCTCTGATCTTTATTATTTCCTTCCTTCTGATCACACTGGGCTTTTCTTGTTGCTCTTTTTCTAATTCTTCAAGTTGCAGAGTTTGATGGTTTATTACCAGTTTTTCTTTTTGTTTTTTTTTGTTGTTGTTGTGTTTTTTTTTGAGGTAGGCCTGTAATACTATGAATTTCCCTCTCATGACTGCTTTCACTGTGTCCCAAAGATTTTAGATTGTTGTGTTTTCATTGTTGTTTGTTTCCAGGGTGTGTTTTATTTCTATTTTGATCTCTTTGGTAACCCACTCATCCTATATAATAAAAGAGAAACATGCAAATTAACCACCCCTCTGCTATGCTCAAGCCATGCCCACCAGCCATGCCCACCAGGAACGAGTATGCAAATTAACCCAGCTAAGATGGCGGTGGCCACGGAGCTGGAGCAAGCAGGATGCTTGTGTTGCCCCTGGCAATGGAGGAATCCAAGCTTCCTGCCTGCCCTTGCTGACCCTGGGCTCCACTCAAGGCTACAAAGTTTCAATTATAAAAGATAAATAAATCCCAGATACCTGCTTCCAGCCAGCTGTGGCCTCCACTCAAGGAGGGGCTGAGTGCCTGGATTGCCAGAGGCAACCCAGGCTTCCAGCTGGACCTGGGCTCTGCTCAAGGCTACAAAGTTTCAATTATAGAAGATAAATAAATCCCAGGGAAAAAATAGAAAAAAAGGAGACACTGGGAGCTTGGGTCACCGGGGGGCATGGTCAGCCTGAAAATGGCCATCAGCCCATTACCCAGGCTGGCCAGGCACCCCAGCAGGACTCCCCCACCTTGATGGGGCTGTGGGCAGCCTGAAAATGGCTCTCAGCTCCTTACCCAGGCTGGCCACACCCCCATGAGGTGAGGGGCCCCAATGGGGGGCTTGACCAGCCTGAAAATGGCCCTCAGCCCCTCACCCAGGCTGGCCAGGCACCCCAACAGACCCCCACCCTGATCCGGGACACCTTTCAGGGCAAACCAGCTGGCTCCCACCTGTGCACCAGGCCTCTATCCTATATAATAAAAGGGTAATATGCAAATTGACCCTAACAGCAGAACGACTGGAAATGACTGGTCACTATGACACACACTGACCACCAGGGGGCAGACGCTCAATGCAGGAGCTGCCCCCTGGTGGTCAGCATGCTCCCACAGGGGGAGCTCTGCTCAGCCACAAGCCAGGCTGCCAGCTGCCAGCACAGCGGTGGTGGCGGGAGCCTGAATAGAGTATTCTTGGATTCAATCCTTTGCTTTGCATCACTTTGTATGCCTTCCTCCATTCCCTTCTAGCTTGATGTGTTTCTGTTGAGAAATCATTTGATAATATGATGGGGTATCCTTTGTAGGTAACTCTCTGTCTCTCTCTTGCAGTCTTTAAGATTCTCTCTTTGACATTAACATTTGCCATTGTAATGATGACATGTCTTGGTGTGGGTCTTTTGGGATTCATCTTGCTTGGGACTCTCTGTACTTGTGTAACTTTTTTCTTCCCCATATCTGTCATTATTTCTTCAAATAGATTTTCTAATCCTTACTGCTCTTCTTGTCCTTCTGGCAGCCATATTATATGTATGTTACTTCGTTTCATGTTGTCCCAAAGCTCCCTTAGGTTCTCCTCCTGCTTTTTATTTTTTTTCTCCAGTTGCTGTTCAGATTGAGTTTGTTTCTCTAACTTATCTGCTAACTCACTAATTTGGTCCTCTGCTTTTTACAGTCTACTATTGAAACCTCCCATGGTGTTTCTGATTGTAGCTATATCACTTTTGATTTCTTCCTGATTTTTGCATAGGTTGTTGATATTCTCATCCATCCAGTGTATGAACTGTATGACCATTACTCTGAATTCTTTTTCTGTCATGTTGCATGCTTCCATTTCACTTATTTCCTTTTTTGGCGACTCCTCATTTTCTTTCCTCTGGGGATTGTGTCATCTCCCCATTCTGACTATCACCAGAAGGTTCAAACTTCTAGTTGCATGGTCCTGGGCTGTGTGAATTGGGAGCTTTGCACAACCCACGTGTCACTGAAGAGCTCCAACACCAAGACGTGTAGCTGCCCTGGGTTGGTTGGAGCCACGCTCGCCCAGGATCAGAGTCACTGGCACTCAATGTGGCCTCGTGCGCACACCTAGAACCAGGGACCCACCTGCGCTGCACTGAAACAGAGACCCTTCTGGCATGTGCCAAAAATCAAAGTCCCCTAGCACATGCCAGGAGTCAGAGTTCCCCTGTGTCTGCACCAAGAATCGAGTATCAGAGTCTCTGTTGCTTGGTGTGGCCTCAAGCAGAGAATCAGGGTCCCTGTGTGTGCATGCACCAAGAATTGGAGCCAATGGCTCTTAGTGTGAATGCACTGGGAATCCATGATCCCATGCGCATGTGATGAGAAACAGAGTCAAGTCACTGGTGCTAAATGCTGCCTCTCGCGTGGAGAATCTGGGTCCCAGGTATACTTGGGGGACTAGGTTTCACAGTAGCACTGTGTCAGCAGGAGGTGCACTCCTGTGCTGCAGAAAACAGACTTCCGTGTGTGCTTACCCAGAATCGAAGTCAGGTGGCACTGCCAACCCTGCTTGGGCGTGGGGTTTGGTCGCCCGATTGCATTGCGGAGAACAGATTCCCAGTGTCCATGCATGCCCAGGCTCAAATTCCTGTAGCGGTGCTACAGCCCTGTGCAAGGGGAGGGTCTAGCAGTTCCTATGGCCTTGCTGCTAGCCGGCAGGGAGGGGGATGGGCTCTGTGACTCACAGAAAGCGCAGCCGGATGTCTGGATTCCTGGTGTCTGTGGGTGTGCAGCTGTGGTCACAGGTCTCTGTCCACAGTGGCTGTAGGGTCCCGGTTTGCATTTGAGACCAGACTGGGTGGTACTGAGGCCAGGATCCTAGTCTCAAGCAGCTCTCAAACATGGGAAGTTTTTAACCATTATTGTTTTAAATAGACTTTCTGTCCATTTCTTAACTTTTTTCCTTTGAAATTCCCATTATGAGTATATGATTTTCTTAATAATGTCTTATAAATCCTGTAGGCATTCTTCACTCTTCTTTCCTTCTCTGAATAAATACTTTTAAATAACCTATCTTTTAGCTCACTGATTTTTTTCTTCTATTTGACTGGATCTGCTGTTAATGCTCTCTATTAAATTCTTCAGTTCAGTTATTGTATTCTTCAGCTTGAGGACACTTTCATAGTTTCTTGTCTTTTTGGTGAACTTCTCATTTTGTTCTCCACCCCCTCTCTGCCCCCAATTTTATTGATTTGTCTGTATATAGTGTCTTGTAGTTCACTGAACTTCTTTCAGAGGATTATTCTGAAATGTTTTTCAGATAATTTATATATCTAATTTCCTTAGGGGTAGTTATTAGAGTACAGTCATTTTTGCTTTTTTCAGTGTACTATTCACCTGAATCTTCGTGATCCTTGATTCCTTGTGTTGGTATGAGTGCATATAAGTCAGCAACGTCTTCTTCCAAACTTTACAGGTCTATAAGCCCCACCTTTGCTTAAGTTTCTAGTAGTTATCTAGTAGCCAGGAATCATCTAGCTTTTTCCTAAGCCAGACTACTGAATCATATCAAGATGTAAAGGGGATTATAACCCTTTCATACTTCAACCATAGCAGGTGGCACCAACTTCTGTCATTCCCTCCTTCCTCAGAAATACAATACTGCTTTTAACCTACTGTGTTCAGCATGGAAAAGTTCTGTTTCAGAGTCTTCTATTTGGTCTCTCCTAGGAGAGTCATTGTTATTTTATAGATTAAGAAATGAATGGTAAAAAAAAAAACACCTGTTTGTGTGTCCTGATTATACACTTAGGAGCTTGGGAAATTTGTAGATTGAGTGGATTCACCATTAGATAGACATTACCTTACCTCCATACACTCTAACAGGGGCCATTATGGTGTCTTGGGTCCCAAGGTATCAACTCGTATACTGTATCAATAACCCTTAAAATTTCTGTGAGTTTTCTTTGTTTTGCATATATGTTACTTGAATAAATGGCCATATGTGCCTGTGGAGATAAATTCAGGGAATTATTATGGTATACATTTGCACAGTCCTTTCTTGTAAGAACTGCCATCAACAGCTTCTGAGTCAAGAATTGGCTAAGGTCTGGAAGGTGTGCAAGGAATGTTGACTCTTCATTGAAGTAATATTTCAACCATCTGATCATCTATTTATAATCTCTTTTGATGACATATATAAAGTAATATCCTTGTTAACTGCTCATGTGTCTTGCATGTAAGAACAGCATCTTCTAGTAGCTAATTTCTTAGACATCTATGAGCCAGGGTCCCTGGTTGTGATTCTAAGCTTGTTGCCCATTACACAAATTACTCATCCTGCTGTGACA